TCAACTTTAGTTACATTTCAATAATTAATTATTTCATGGTGATTAGAAGTTTGAAATAGCAACATATACTATCCCAAAAAGAAACGCATAGGTGTTTTGTATTTTAAAAGATCTATTAATTACCAATTGTGTTCAAACAATCGTCAAAATATGTAACAATATGTATTATTATTATATATACACATATATATTGCCCTATCAAGTTGGTTTTTTAATGTATTCACCTTATGGACTAATGCACGCCTGAACACGACGACGTGAAATAGATTCGTTTTATTACACAGTGGGGGTCAGTATGAATGTTCTAATGTTATATTTTTAGCTCCAATTTGTATTTTGCATAGCAGTTTAACTTTAACTTGGTACTGCGTATAATCAATTGCTTGATCAATGTTGATTTGATTGGCGTTTTTGTTTTTCATTTCTGGCAAGCAGCGACAGAACGCCTTTAGGAATATATATTTCGTACTTTAAAAAATGATATACCATTTGAAGGGTTGATAAGCGGCATACATTGTTACGAACATAAAAGATGAGTTATTGAAATTATATATGTGTGTATATATATATATGTGTAAATAGATGTGTGTATATATGTATATGTCTGTGTGTATATATGTGTGTGTGTGTTTTGTATATGTGTGTGTATATATCTATCTATGTGTGTGCTTCCTGTTAAATTGTTAAATTTAACAATTGTTGGAAATATTTAAATTGTTAAATTTAACAACAATATTTTTCTGTAATTTAATTAATGCACCATGGATATATTTATTTATGGAGACATCTCGAATTCAGGTTCTTGTCCTTGTGTTCCGTATTTAGGTTTTGGTTCCCAAACTGTTCTGTTTATTTATCAAAACTCATCTTTCTCTCCTGAAGGGGCGGTGGGGTAGCCTAATGGTGATAGCGTTCGCTCGTAACGCCGAAGACCCGGGTTCGATTCCCCACATTGGTACAATGTGTGAAGCCCATTTCTGGTGTCCCCGGTCGTGATATTGCTGGAATAGTGCTAAAAAGCGGCGTAAAACCATACTCACTCACTCACTCACTCACTCTCTCTCCTGACGACTGTTCATAACGCTTATACTTCATGATTCCAACTTCCTTGGGGAGTATATTTTGTACAAATAAATGGCATTGTGTAATCAGATACTTTGTAGAGTTTGGACGAATTCTGTTTATTGTTTTCGATTACATTATTAAACAAAGACTGACTCATATTGTTTAAGACAAATGAAAAGTTGCAAGTAAGCAGTTTTGTAGTGTCACTTGGACAAACCTAGATAGCCTATACACTTAATTTGACATCGCTGCACATTTAATCCCATCTCGATTTAACCATGTTATTGATGTCGAATTGATATTAGTGAGCAAGTACAAACACTTCATCTATTTCTTCATCTTCTTTCAGGTACAAAGTATCTATATGTGTATCCTTTATCAAGACTGACCAGCCTCTCCATGCTGCTTAGCATATCACATTGCTGCACTTATTGTTTGATCGGCATTCTAGAAGTTGGTGAGTCGGTAATGAAGCATAGGACTTCATGGAGAACAACTTTCTTGTTTATTGCACAAAGACTGTTACGACGTAAATTGTAATAAAAACGCAAATTGTAATACTTGCAGCAAATTGTAATAAACTTGACGTAACAATTTGCTGCAAGTATTACAATTTGCGTTTTATTACAATTTACGTCGTAACAACGTTTCGGTGTGGGTTCTTAGACCGTTTTAGTTTGATAACGGTGTAAAAATATACAAAACTATAAACGTGGCCTAGTACAATAAACAAGAAGGATGAGGACTATTTTTATGGATGTACAACTTCTTTATTCTGTATAGGCGACGTTTCGACATAGATTCTAATGTCGTTGTCAAGCAAGTGATACATGAGAAGTAATTTTGGGTGATATATGTACATGAGATGTTTGGACAATAGATGAAGGATGAGGCGAACATGAGTTGTTTATACAATAGAGAGGTTGATAACACAGATAGTATACAGGATTAAGTATAAGAAGTTGTAATCCATGAGGTCTTTTGCATCAATACATTAAACTGCGTTCACTATGACGGCACTTATAAATGACGTTGGCCATTTAGAAGTGAGTGAGTGAGTGAGCATAGTTTAACCACGCTTTTAACAATATTGCAGCAATACCACACATTATACCCATGTGAGGAATCGAACCCAGGTCGTTTCTTTTCTATTTCGAAGTAGGCGTCGGGAGATTTTGCAGGGAGAGTCTTCCAGATGAACTCCCAATTTGGTACACTGTCTCTACATACAACCAGCTATGTTTACTGACTTCAAGTGTGAAATCGGTTCGATATCCAAAATTGATAATCGGAGACACGTTTAAGAACAGAATTGAAATGCATATGGCTGAATGGATCACTGAAGACAATAAGTTAATTTATAAAGGCTTAACCAATCAATACGACCAATGAGGTTTCTGGCTGATTAAAGGATATTGATCATAGAACGTGCTCTGAGACTACTAATCTAAGGCAATAAAGACAAAGTGCGTTTGCATGTGTGTTATTTATTATTCAAAATATGACAACATACATGCGAGAAAATAGGATAAGCATCAGAGATGAGCTTCAGTTATGTTTTTGGTCAATATCAAACAAATATGAACGTGTTCAACACACATGTTACCAAACATCAAACGTATGGATTTATCAGGCAAAATATTGTACTTGATCGAAGGATTGCTGCTGATCAATTTAAATTTCTAGAGATTGTTTTGCAGCTCGCCTCAAAACATATGCGTGACAACTAGCCAACGCTGGTGGAGCTGTTTGTATCATAAGTATGACAAAACAGAGTGAAGATACCCTGTTTCAACAAAACAGAACAAAAACATAATTGATGAAAACATGAAGGGCTGACAATGTTGACAAATAAGGTATTAGAAGAAAGGGGAATGAGCAGCTCTTGCAACTTGGAATGGTTTTCCGTGATCATATATTGCTGACAAGAAATAATCAATCTGATGAAAAGATTGGAAAGGTGCAGTAAAATCAATTTGTAGTCTGTATATTAATAGCTGGCCGCTGAACATGTTAGGCGATGCATGCACGGCATATTCATGACTTACACTTTATCAAGCTGTACATATTTGCCCCTGGCATTGCCCGCTATTCTGCCCGACGAGCTGCCCCGAAAACATCCCACACATAATATATTAGAGATATGATGGAGGACTTCTCGTTGAAGATAATCGATGACGTCATCTTAAAGTTACAATTTCTAGCGAATGGTACAACGACAGGACTCGAACTGTATTCAACAAATCGCTGGCAACTCAAATGCCAATTCACAAAAACCTAATCAGTTCGCCCTGCACTATAACACTACCGGCCCCGTAACTATTGATCATTGTTTAAAATTGTTGTCCTGGCAGATTCACTGGAATTGCTAAAAAATCTATTCTGTCATCTGTGAATCGATGGTAAAGCCTCGATATAAACGTAGGGTACCGCCATTGCCCCATAGCCCGTCCCTAGTGTTGCCATGCCCAACCTGCTATTAATTGTCTTTGGAAGGCCGCACTGGCCATGCCCTTGTCAGCTCGCCTTGCTTTCAGGCGGGCTGCATTGAGCCGCCTTTTCCTTACAGTAGATTTGGAAATTCACCTTACTGGATATTGTATCCATAACAGAATCAGATTTGATTTTTTGGCGTAGTTCAGTTGTACAGTACGAAGAGCTTATCTCTTGCGACCCAACCCTTTTGACAGCACTCAGTTGAAAAATTACACTTTTTTGATTCCCAAACATTTGGGACATTTCGTATATGACGTCCCCTTCTATCGTACCAACATTTCGAAATTTTGTCTCTTGAAGGAGATACTGTGTCGCAAGCAGGTCTTAAGCGTTTGCTTAGCTCAGTGTCATTAGGCGTCTCTGCGCAAGTGCATCACTTGCTGATTGTACATTATATGAAATTACATTGTGATGCAGCGGTGTTGAAAATATTTGAAAATATACACCTCAACTTTAGTTACATTTCAATAAGTAATTATTTCATGGTGATTAGAAGTTTGAAATAGCAACATATACTATCCCAAAAAAGAAACGCATAGGTGTTTTGTATTTTAAAAGATCTATTAATTACCAATTGTGTTCAAACAATCGTCAAAATATGTAACAAAAGTGTTGACAACATGATTTTACACTATTGCACAAGTGAAAAATCGAATTTACTGAATAAGGTTGATTTTGATGAGATTTCTAACAAGAAGTAAAAAGGCATCGCCACAACGCAACAGAAGTCACCTTCCAGTTGAAATTGTGCAGCAAGGAGCATGCACTGTCAGGCAATAAAAATCAAGATTACTTTCGGAAATCGGCAATCGTTTTGAGGGAGTTTCAAGGTCAAATCACTACGCCACGTCTTGACGCTGCGACACGGAACATCGCCATTGAACAATGCAGGCTGGAGATTACCAATTTTCTGATGCCAGGCGTCTGAATGTTAGTCTGAGCACGATATCACTGCTTGCAGCTCGTTACAACCAAACAGGTTTAACAAATGACCGTCCCCGTACAGGGAGACCTCGAGTCACCACTGTAGCCCAAGATCAATACATCCGGGTACTATATTGCGTGATCGTACTGCCACGGGTGAGAGCACAGCAGCCAGGGTGCCTGGACTTCCGGTCAAACTGTACGGAACAGGTTGAGCGAGATTGGACTGAGAGCCAGGAGACCCGACGTCGGGACCATCCTACGTGATCACCATCGCGCTCAACGTCTCCGTTATCTAAAATTATTCACTTGGTTGTATAGACATTACCTTCTTCTAAACTGATGCAAAACTCCATGTACTAAAGTGTATTTGTCGACGAGTTATACATGTTTGAAAATACAACATTTTCGCAACAGATTTCTGGGTTATGCGTTTCTTTTTTGGAATAGTATATATGGACCATCTTAGGGACCGTTCACAATTTATGTGGGGTGGGATGTTGATGATGATTTTAAGTGGGGTGGGGGTGGGGTTCACCAGATTGTTCTTGGGAGGTAGGGGTCATCAATTTTATACCTAACCATATTAAATATTAATGCTCAAAAATACGGGGGCAGGGGGCAATTATGGTGGTGGTGGTGTCATTCACATTGTACATGCCTCTTAAAATTCGTCATCACTCGCCTAGCCATAACTTATGAACGGTCTCTTGCATCATATCTCCAACGAATGCATATACATACATACTATAGAACATGGTGCAGTACATGCAAATTAATGTATCCAAGTCTGTATTTACGGAAGTGTGCTCTTGAAACCCTATAGAATGTGTGCTCAACTGGATCCTAGCCATCATCCAGTGCCCAAACCACAAACCGTTCCTGTTCAGCTGTGACAGCATTTCGCGTGTAACGTTGTTGCAACGATACCAAACAACACCTGTCCCATTCCATACGAATTGGTATCTCACGTGTCCTTTCTTATACCATGGTCCCTCTATCTGTTTTTACCATTATTAAAATGTCAGCACAGGTGGACATATTTCAAGAAGAGTTGAACGTGTTATCGACATTCTCTAAACAAAATAACAAGTGCACATAGTATGCACATTGATTGAAATACATTTATATATTAACCTTCCATATTAACCCGTCATATGGTAGCGCGGGTAATAATGTCCAGCTCGGAATGGGTCTGAAGGCACCGAAGAACACATTTCCTCATTTGGGTATTGCACAAAAGTATCGATTTTGATTCGTGCAATCCATGTCGTGTAATTTCAAAACTGCGTACGCAAGACAAAACTGATTATTGGCGTCACCTGACGGTTCCCCTGGATACCAGAAGGGGTCGACAACTTCCGTGCCATCAATCCAGTGGTACGTCTTGATGCCATCTCCGGTGTTCAGGTCCAAGCCTCCTATAAAAAGGTGGTCCATAGTCAAGTCTGAAAGAGCAAATTGTCAGAACTTAATCCGAATAAAGGACTTGTCGTCGAGGATTTGGTATTCAGAATCATGGAATTGGGGAGATATATGCTGTGAATGTCAATGGCAAATCGGTAGTGTTCTCTTGGACTGACTGAGTTTGGTTTTACGCCGCTTTTAGAGTTCTCTTGGAAGATACAAAAGAAGAATCGCTCGGGTTATTCTCTATACCTACAGGACACAGACCCTCTAATCGAAATAACGAGGTAAAACTCGAAGTGACGGGGAACAAATCGAAATTTGGATTTTTGGTGTAACTGACATACCGAAAAATTATGAACTATTACGAAAATACATGTAATAACAAAGTAACGCCAAAGACTCCAAATTTCGAAAAAAAACCCAAATCATTCAAATCAAGAAAAACTTCAATTCAAACGTATTACACTGTGCTACCAAAGTGCCCCCATTAATCATTCATACAAAACAAATTAATAGCACATTCTTATTAAACCTCACATACTATATAAACATGTGATGGGAAACGAATTGTCGAATAGTCTTCCCTTATCTCAGCTGAATTTAAAATATAAACATTCTTGTTCAAATGATTTAACATAACAGGAAACTTACGTATATTTGAATTCATGACTCGCGCAATTGCCTCTCGATATTTGGTTTCTTTTAGCATCAAAAGCCTCGATCCTGGACTCAGTTCTTGACAAGCGGTCTCCGAGTTGTTAAAAGTTCTCTTATCCTGTGACTGGTAGTAGCAGAGCTCTGATTCACGGTCTATGAAAAAGCCTTTCCTCGCCGGGCACCAATCTGACATTAAAATACACATCAATTACATTTCCAGTAAATGTGCATGTATTTCAAATCTACGACATTTATAGCAGTTCGTGTCCCATAACATCTCAAAGAAATTAGCGTTTCTACTTGGAATTTTCATTCATGTTTCAAATTAATTTGATCCAAGTCCTTCCATCACCTGCCATGAAGGCAAGGAAAGAATGTTTCAAATCTACGACATTTATAACAGTTGGATAATCCCATAACACCTCAAAGGAACTAGCGTTTCTACTTGGAATTTTATTCATGTTTCAAATTAATTTGATCCAAGTCCTTCCATCACCTGTCATGAAAGCAAGGAAAGAATGTTTCAAATCTACGATATTTATAACAGTTTGTATCCCATAACACCTCAAAGGAATTAACATTTCTACTTGGAATTTCCATTCATGTTTCAAATTAATTTGATCCAAGTCCTTCCATCACCTGTCATGAAGGCGAGGAAAGAATGTTTCAAATCTACGATATTTATAACAGTTTGTATCCCATAACACCTCAAAGGAACTAGCGTTTCTACTTGGAATTTTATTCATGTTTCAAATTAATTTGATCCAAGTCCTTCCATCACCTGTCATGAAGGCGAGGAAAGAATGTTTCAAATCTACGATATTTATAACAGTTTGTATCCCATAACACCTCAAAGGAACTAGCGTTTTAACTTGGAATTTTATTCATGTTTCAAATTAATTTGATCCAAGTCCTTCCATCACCTGTCATGAAGGCGAGGAAAGAATGTTTCAAATCTACGACATTTATAACAGTTTGTATCCCATAACACCTCAAAGGAACTAGCGTTTTAACTTGGAATTCATGTTTCAAATTAATTTGATCAACGTCCCTCCATCACCTGTCATGAAAGCAAGGAAAGAATATTTCAAATCTACGATATTTGTAACAGTTGGATAATCCCATAACACCTCAAAGGAATTAGCATTTCTACTTGGAATTTCCATTCATGTTTCAAAGTAATTTGATCCAAGTCCTTCCATCACCTGTCATGAAGGCAAGGAAAGAATGTTTCAAATCTACGATATTTATAACAGTTTGTATCCCATAACACCTCAAAGGAACCAGCGTTTCTACTTGGAATTTTCATTCATGTTTCAAATTAATTTGATCCAAGTGCTTCCATCACCTGCCATGAAGGCAAGGAAAGAATATTTTAAATCTACGACATTTATAACAGTTGGATAATCCCATAACACCTCAAAGGAACTAGCGTTTCTACTTGGAATTTTATTCATGTTTCAAATTAATTTGATCCAAGTCCTTCCATCACCTGTCATGAAAGCAAGAAAAGAATGTTTCAAATCTACGATATTTATAACAGTTTCTATCCCATAACACCTCAAAGGAATTAACATTTCTACTTGGAATTTCCATTCATGTTTCAAATTAATTTGATCCAAGTCCTTCCATCACCTGTCATGAAGGCGAGGAAAGAATGTTTCAAATCTACGATATTTATAACAGTTTGTATCCCATAACACCTCAAAGGAACTAGCGTTTTAACTTGGAATTCATGTTTCAAATTAATTTGATCCAAGTCCTTCCATCACCTGTCATGAAGGCGAGGAAAGAATGTTTCAAATCTACGATATTTATAACAGTTTGTATCCCATAACACCTCAAAGGAACTAGCGTTTTAACTTGGAATTCATGTTTCAAATTAATTTGATCCAAGTCCTTCCATCACCTGTCATGAAAGCAAGGAAAGAATGTTTCAAATCTACGATATTTATAACAGTTTGTATCCCATAACACCTCAAAGGAACTAGCGTTTTAACTTGGAACTTCATTCATGTTTCATGTCCTTCCATCACCTATCATGAAGGCAAAGACATGAATAATGCTTCCAATTTGATAAAACTTTAGGAAAACATACAAATGTAAAGAATGTCAAATTGTCAATTTAGTGAAGTCATACATTGTGTAGTTTATGTTATCGATACATATTATAAAAATATCAACGTCATGCAAAATAATATCTTACTCGTATCAAAATATATATAATTAAGTCAAATGTAAATTGTTGCCTGTTTCTCGCTGGTCAGCCGACGTGAGACTCATTTAATCATGATCAAACATGAGTAAATCCAACGCCGCAAAAAGCCTTATATTACTGTCCCAAACACGCGGCCTCATTTTAAGGTTCTCGTTTTTTTTCAAACAGAAAACACAAAAACCAAAAACAACAACACACACATTACTACCTTTCGGTGATCACTTTCTCAAAAGTCAGCATTATATTGCATATATTCAGGATCGAAGTATTTACTTGGCCTTAGTTTGCGTATGTAGATTCAAATCATTACTATCTTTCCACAGACTACCTAATCGCCTAATATTCTTCTTCATTAAGTCATGAACAAGGGTTTATTTCTGATCTATGGAGCATCATTCCAACTGTTCTTTACCATGAAGGTATCGGGGTCTTATTTTTATTTCAATCACAAATCATCAATTGTCAAAAGCTTTTCTTATAAAATTATTTTAAACCTTTATAGATGTCACCTACCTGTATGGACTGCATAATATCGTAGTCCGGGAGATGATATTGCAGAAAGCGGGAAAAAATTGTATTTAAAGGCAGGAGCAGGAAAGAGGGAGCACTCCAAACTCTGCTCGTTAAAAGCAAACATTGAACATCTAACGAGGGATGTGCACTCCTTGGCGCATTCCAGATCATCTCTCACAGATTCAAATGTTTGCAGTGGTTCAATTGGGAGGGTTATTTTCTGGTCATTGTATTTGGTCAGGCCTGTGAAGCCCATCACTTGACATCCTCTGGATTGCCTAGGAAAGAAACGTAAAAAATCATATTGTGATCATTCCATCATACTATGGCAATGGAATAGAGTAGTAATAATGATAAAACCACCACTTTATTTCCAGGTGCGGTGTAAAGAAGGGATGTTGGTTTGAAACTAGCATGTTTTTAATGCTTAAGAGCAGTATATCAGACATGTAATCATTATAAAAATATTTTAAAATTTTTTTCTTGGAATCGTGCTTGCAAGAAAGGGCAAGTAGTGTTTACGCCAATGCGAGGCATTCGTAACAAAATCAGTAATAAAGGACATAAGCTGCTTTATAGCCCCACAAACCATGCAAGCAATGAGTAAGTTATTTATGGAATTCTGCACTTTTAGTTACGCATGTAGTATGATGGACTGGTCGTTGTAAGGTAAAACATTCGTCAAAATTGAATAAAAAACCTAAGCAGCTTCATGTATTGATAAATACATAAACAAGACGTTTTATATATAATTGATTTTAGCGTGTCACGACATAGTCGCTACGCAATTCAACCGTCACATAAAGCAAAGAGATTATGAAGCTGAAACTGCATTATTCATAGGTGGTCGCGACTGACATTCTTAGAAGCCAAAGGCTTGTTTTGTGTAATGACGACAGTATATGTCCTCAATTGTTCAGATCAATATATACAGAACGGCTTCAAGGACACATCACAATTACAGAATCAGCATATAGTTACTGGTACTGCCGTTTAGTGCATACCGATAGCATCAGAGACCAATAAGGCCAAACTTAGAAGAGTTGTGATCAATCATTTCAACGAACCGCAGCATTGTAAGTTAAAATTATTTTAATTAATAGTCTTTAGGAACCGTTACGGCTTATGGCTAACAAAATGTTTTTCGCGGCATTTACATGAGACACCATGCCCTGAACATGTTTCAATACATGTATGCTCTCGGCATAATGGGAGACAATTGTATTTTCGTTTTTGTTCTTGATGACGATGTTTATAGCTGTGAGCAGCTATTGGTCGGCATCGTGACACGACCGAATGTTGGATATTCTATACAAGAACAAGGGTATAAGCTTTAAAACAAGACGCTTTAAGAATAAGATCAACTAAGAGTTATGTTTCCCACAGTTAGAAATTAGATGCGCGTCAAGAAAACAACCTGCAAGTTTTGGATCGACTGTTGTACACCATGCGTTTGATGACCTTAATTGATTTTTAAACGAAAACACCGCTTCAGACATTGCCGAATAGAATAGAAAAGTTTGGCCTCGGATGCTATAACTAAACTGTCAAACATACAAACAAGACAGCCAGACACAGTCTCTCTCTCTCTCTCTCTCTCTCTCTCTCTCTCTCTCTCTCTCTCTCTCTCTCTCTCTCTCACACACACACACACTCACACACACGATCAAACAAACAGACAAAGAAACAAACACAGCAAAATATCGAATAATGTCAATGTGGTATGTACCTTAATTGAATTAACTTTGCTATAGAAATATAGCTTCTGGACATAATAGCCTAGTATATATTTTCATACAACACATAATTTCAATTATCAAATTGCTCATCACCACACAGTAGCTTGAGATTTAAGCTTTAGTGTCCCACTAAGAGCTCAACCAAATTGACTTACCGGACGAGTAGCACCGCTAGTACAAAACTAGCAACAGCAACCTGTTTGACAGCTTCAACTAGCAACATCTTCAAAGGTGATTCCAATCCAGACTGAATGTGGTGGACTGAATGCAGAACCAACAGCTCAACAGGTGTATTTCATTTGGGGGTGTCGAAACCTTTCCCCGATGGCTTGTCCTCATATAACGACTATACACTCTGAAATAATGATTATGTCAACAGCGACTCGTTTAATGTTCAGTTCTTCATTGATTACCAATACATATTGGCTGACGTGCACAGCCAATCCCATTCCTGTTGGCTGATCTCATGTATTCAATCGACAATCAATATATCCATCAATTACCCCACTGACGGTTAATTCTGAACAAACTGCGTTTTATTGGTTGAAGGAGGTGATGAACGTCACAACATTGAACATTAATCGAAATTGGTAAAAAACAAATGCACACAGACAACTATACCGAGGCACGCCCTGAAACCAACGTTGAATTATAATTATATGATCGATTATTTTTTTTAAATTATTTTTCCTTTAAAGATCAACTTGACCAGTAATTGATTGGTTCGTGACATGAGACTATATACATGCGAACTACAAGCACATGCATTCTTTTCTAATTTTCTTCTTCAAGTGATTTCATTTTGATGAGTATTGAGTAGCTCTTCTTGATGGGGACATTATGTCATTTTAGAAGACTAGAGGTAAATTATTCTCATGTTGATAGCTATTTATTAAACCATCGAAGCCGCACTATGTATTGATAAACGTGAACTTCTCATTTGTGTTGACACCCTGCAATTAATATTGACATGAGTGTAATTAGAAGAGTTTACCTTTGAAAGCTAAGAAAACGAAGATATTGCATCATGATGTGAACAACCCAGGTAATAGGTCTGGAAGATGGTATTCGAAAACAGGATTCCACCCTTCACCCATAAACACAAAATCACCAACAAGGAATTTCCCCGTATCATACGTTATCTTTGGGATTACACTTTCTCAGTGAAGTAGAGGGATTAGCAAAATGGGACTCAACCCAACAAAAGTACAAGAATCTGTATTTTACTAAGAAAGTGCAATCCCAAATACAACATATGTTACATTTGACCACTTTCTAAATGGTATTGTGTATTCAAGGAATTTCCCCGTATCACACTCCAATGCGATGAATATGCTTTTTATTTTAGTAATGATGTGTACACAACTGCTAATATCTCAGCATTGTTAATATCGCAATTCCAAGTGACAATTTTGATTACAGTATCTAACAATCTGTATGGACATGCTGTATAAACGAAAATTCAGTATGGACACATACTGCATATATGTCAGTCACTATGGACATGCTGCATATATGTCAGTCACTATGGACATGCTGCATATACACCAATCAATCTGGACATACTGCATATATATGTCAATCACTATGGACATGCTGCATATTTGTCACTAAGTATGGACATGCTGCATATTTGTCATTCAGTATGGACATGCTGTATAAACGAAAATTCAGTATGGACACATGCTGCATATATGTCAGTCACTATGGACATGCTGCATATATGTCAGTCACTATGGACATGCTGCATATACACCAATCAATTTGGACATACTGCATATATATGTCAATCACTATGGACATGCTGCATATTTGTCACTCAGTATGGACATGCTGCATATTTGTCACTCAGTATGGACATGCTGCATATTTGTCATTCAGTATGGACATGCTGTATAAACGAAAATTCAGTATGGACACATGCTGCATATATGTCAGTCACTATGGACATGCTGCATATATGTCAGTCACTATGGACATGCTGCATATATACCAATCAATCTGGACATGCTGAATATATATGTCAATCACTATGGACATGCTGCATATTTGTCACTCAGTATGGACATGCTGCATATTTGTCACTCAGTATGGACATGTTGCATACATAGCAATCACTAAGGAAATGTTGCATATATGGTTATCACTATGGACATGCTGTATATGTGGCAATCACTATGGACATACAGCACATATGTCAATCAGTATGGACATGCTGTATATGTCAATCACTATGGACATGCAGCATATTTGTCAGTCAGCGTGAACAAATGTTGCATATATGAAAGTCAGTATGAGCACGCTGTGCACATATAAGACAGTCAGTATGGATATGGTGTATATACGACATTCACTATAAATTCAATGCTTCTTAGGTTCTCTTAATACTCATAATCCCTCTATTTCCACACACTCCTGGCGCATTCCCCATAGTGTTGGGAATTGGTTAAAATCTCTTAATTGATTATGGGTTCATTACTACCGATCAATCATCGAAAATGATTGGTTAGCATCATTTATGAAATTTGTTAATGCACATAAAAATAAGGAAAGAAACATGTAGTTCTTTGGGGGTTTGGGGGCAAAATTTCATGTCTTTAAAGGATGACTAGTATGTTAAGAACATAAATTTCTTGGAATCTTTTAGATAAATTCAATCATGACTTGAAACGAGCTTGTAGTGCTTCAAAAATATAACAGACAAAACCAACCGTGTGAAAAATATTGTTAATGAAAACAAGTGTTCAATATTGTTTGAGTTCGATTATGAGAAATTATGATCGATTACTTGGTCGTTTAGTCACTACGACCAATCTTCGATTATTTCAATTAATCGGACCACCACTAATTCCCCTTTAGGATAATATGTATGTAAAGGTCGAACGTTTTAGCTCTCTGGATTAAGCTTCAGTACATAGCAGAATACTGCAATATAGACGTTAACGCAGACAACAGACATTTGTCAAATTCTGCACATATCATGCCTGTGGGGAGGAACTTATGAATGCGTCTTTCACTTTTTTCTTTCATGTCTTTATGATGATGTCATTAGAAGTTGCAGAACAGTATAAAATTCGTTCGATGTTTTGCAATATTATGAATCTGGTCTACTTTCAGCTGTAAATAGTAAAAGTGACAAAATCATTTGCATAATCCTGGGATGCCAGATGGTACATGTCAAAAACACATGCAAGAGACAGTCAATTAATTGTTCACCTGACCAATCACGGGAACATGTGGTCAAAGTAGTGCTGGGAATTGGTTAAAATATCATCATTGATGATTGGTTCATTACAACCGATCAATCATCGAAAATAATTGTCAGTGTCATTTTTGAAATTTGTTAATAAAAAAAAAAGCAATAAGGAAAAAAACGTAGTTCTTTGGTGGTTTTTGGCAAAATTTCACATCTTTAAAGGATGACTGGTATGTTAGGAACATATATTTCTTGGAGTCTTTAAGATAAATTCAATCATGACTTGGAACGAGCTTGTAGTGCTTATGAAATGTAACAGGCAAAACCCACCTTGTGAAAAATATTGTTAATGAAAACAAGTGTTCCAGAATTGTTTGTGTTCGATTATGAGAAAACATGATCAATTGATTGGTCGTTTAGTCACTGTGACCAATCTTCGATCATTTCAATTAATCGGAACACCACTAGGTCAAAGACAACATAATTAACTGCATCTTTCGTTACGTTTGTAAAAGATACGTGAAACCACATGTCCCATACACGTCCACCATAAACAAGTTCAAAGCGTTCTTACATGTTTGTGGAAGTTCAATTCAATCACAGAATATCCATATCTATCCCCGTTTTTAATCGTAGAATATTTGTACTTTTTAGGTTTTGGCTAACTTTACGTACAACCGCTAGCAGCTGAAGGAATGGTATATATCCAGCGCGGGTCCATGCAGGAAGCAAATGTACTGCACGTCCCCATGGTCACTAGTATGGTGATCTGTATTCAGTTGTTGGCGACCTTTATCGTATTGTGAAAGATAGAAAATGTGTTCTATGGTTATATGTTAGTTTTAAATGTAAATCTGTGATAGACTAGTTATTTTACTGTCCTTTGCGGACAGGTAAGTGTATAAGTTTGTGTTTATACATTTTATTCATTTACAAATTTAAAACTTTCATAGTCACGATATGGCTGAAATACTGCCGATGTGACTTTAAATTTTAACTCACTCACTAACTCACTATTACGGGTTTGATGCTGTAACCCTGATTATAGCAGGAATAGTCGTTAGCGTTTGACGCCTTTTGAAAGTTACATAAAAAGAGCCTAAAAAGAGCATGTCCTGTTGTACCTGAAAAGTTGGTAAACCTAGATACCAATAGCTGAAAAACCTGGAATATTTGTAGACATATATACAAAAAGAGCTTTGATTTTGATAGCTGAAGTCATTATACTTGACACACATTGTAATGGACATAGTTCAAGCACATAATCGATGTGAACTGATCGATTATGAAACAGATGAGCCAGTTTCACTTGACTCTTTTATTTCTGAAGTCGGTACAACTTAGGAAGGGAATTGGCAATTATTGAAAGATTCAGGTTCAGCGATATGCCTGACGTTAAACTAGTCTTCGTGACCAAATTTCATTTTTCTTTTTTTTTATTCTGTCGATACGAGCACACATTCCAATTGACATGTATAAAGAAGAAGACCCGGAAAGAGGGGAGCTCACTTTGGTGCCATGTGGATGCCGTCTTTAGCCTAAATGCGCTGTTATCTTATATATCGTTGTGCAGGAAGGTGCCCAGCGTTTCATATGTTTCGCAGTGAACATAGTGAACATTAGATACGTTCGTTTTCATGTTTGACAAATGTTTTGCGAACCTTCAACAATAGTGATGTAACTATATTTATGATTCTATTAGATTTTAATTACATTTGTCCTGTGGGATAACGGTGTACAATGCTCGAAACTCATTTATTTGAGACGCAATTGAACATTTTACCCCTTTCCACGATTACGGTTTGTAAAGCTAAATGTATTAAACCCAAGCGTGGAATTGCAAGTGGTAAACCCATACTATTTAGTTTTGACGTTAGGGGAGGTGGGGTAGCCTAGTGGTTAAAGCGTTGGCTCGTCACACCGAAGACCCGGGTTCGATTCCCCACATGGGCACAATGTGTTAAGCCCATTTCTGGTGTTCCCCGCCGTGATATTGCTGGAATATTACTAAAAGCGGCGTAAAACCAAACTCAGTCAGTCAGTCAGTTTTGACGTTAGTGGTATGACTGTCTTCATGAGTGTGTCCAGCAACCGCAGCTCGTTGCACTATCTTGGGAATCGCCTGTAAAATCAGTGATCACTGTTTGGTGTAACCTTTTTGCAAACGTTTTGTTTGAGTACCAAAAATCTGAATCTGAATACATATTCTGATTCTTATTCTCTGTTTCAATAAGGTGAGGTGAGGTGAAATTTGGTTTAACATCGTGCTTGAGAATATTTCGCTCATATGACGATGTGCATACTGTGTATGTGTCTGTGCGGCTGCTTGTACTAGCCCAGACTGAAGCTGGTTTTTGCATTAGTTTCAACCCAATTAAATCTAAAGAAACTAACACAAACTCTTTCAATATGTGTATGATTTTGGTTCAAACGTATTTTTATTCAACCAAAATTGAATAGGGATCGGTGAACAAGCTAGAAGCTTATGTGAACACCTCTCCCTTGCGAAGACAGATAATGATTACATAGTTTGGCTGTTAGTCATGTATGAGCTATCCCTAGAACATATGAAATAAGGTATGTCGACATCATCAATTTACAGTAAACAATCACTTTATGCTGAGAAAAGGGTAGGAAATCTGCCTTATTTTACAATATACAAGTGAACAGTTTCAAGACGATCTTGTACCAGGTAGATTACTTGAACAAGGCAACTATAATCTTAGAAATAGTACTTCCATTCAAACTATAACTGTAGAACGCAAAGATATTCTCAATCATTTTTACCGAGCGCGATTATGTCGTGGAACTTATTGCCCGATGGAGTTGTTAACGCTATTTCCGTGAATCAATTTAATACCATGATAAACATAATAGAAACTCACAATTGCTTTGATTTCAACTTTGGGACTATATTTTGTCAAATCATTCATTGTCGCCTCAAGCTGGGTTGTATTGATCTATACCATCTACAATGTCATTAATATAAATGATGAACAGAAGTGGTCCTAAAACGCGTACGGAACCCTGGGGTACACCAGCTTCCACAGATTTGATACCTGAACTATATCCATTTATTACCACTTTCTGCATTCTACTATCTAAATAACTCTCAAACCACTCCAAAAGTTCTCCCTGTATACCATAAGCGTAAAGTTTATGTATAATACCTTTGTGCCAAACTTTACTTACATCACAGAATACCGCTCTGATTTCCTTTCCTTGGTCTTGCGGCACTTGCGATAAAATTATAAAGATAAGTTAGTTGATTTACTGTAGAATCACCAGGCATAAATCCAGATTGTAAGTTTGATAAAATATTGTTATCCCTGAGGAAGTAGAAGACGTATTTAAAAATGCATTTTTCAAAAACTTTAGCTACACAGCTTGTTAACGCTACAGGTCTATAGTTTGAGCAATCGCGTTCATCACCTTTCGTATGTAGCGGAATCACCGAAGCTAGTTTCCAAGAAGTAGGATACGTTTTATTACGAAGGGAGATGTTGAACAACTTAGCTAACAACGGGGTTAAAGAGGTTGCAGTTAGTTTCAATGCCATCAGGCCCCGTGGCTTTCGATGTATCTAGACTCAGAAGAATATCGCGAACATCTCCATTACTTATTGTGATAGATGACATAGGATAATCGATTTCACGCGGTTCGAAATCAGGCAGATCGGCGTTAGGATCAGCAACTTGGGATTGTTCAGAGAAAAATGAGTTGAGTACATCAGCAATATCTTGTTCATTGTAGTAACTATGTTATTGCTGACAATTGATGGAAAGGACGATTTTATCGAATTTGTTTTAACATAATTCTTAACTAATCGCCACCACATTTTAGAACCATGAGTGTTATTTATAGATTCATCAACTCGTGCATCAAAAGCACGTTTTGCATTTCTAACTGTTGCTATTACTTTATTCCGAAGTGTTCTGAACTTAGTCCAATCATCAGGAAGGTTTCTGTTTTTTGCAATCTTATGAACACGATTTCGTTTTCTTATTAAGGATCGGATTTCGTTATTCATCCAAGCGGGATCTTTGGTTCTAATTGTTACAGTTGTATTTGGAATATATCCATTCATGATATTCAATAACAAGGATGTAAGGTTTTCTGTGATATTATCTACGTTCCCCGAAGAGAAAAATATATCTGAGTTTATCTCTTTGATAATTTCATTCATACCATTTACATCCATTGAAGAATAATCATAGATGTTCGTTTTGAATGAATTCTTGTGCTGCATCATTTCTGCTATGTTAACAAATACGGGACAGTGATCGCTGCATATGGGATCTAATACACCAGAATCTTTAACAACGTCGACGCGAGAAACAAATATCAAATCGATCAAAGTTTTACTACTTGCGGTTATTCTAGTAGCATCCGTGATTATTTGCCGAAGGCCGTAGTAACTTTGTATATAGTCTATCTTTTGATTATTGCCATGAAGAACGTCAATATTGAAATCACCGGTTATAATTGTCTGCATATTAAGATCAACTGCGTTACCTTTAAATGATAATGGCGCATTGAATAACTCGACAGATAGTGACATTCTCAACTCATTACACAACTTAATTTCTAAAAGTAACCACTTCAAGTGATTATAACCTCGACATATATACTCATGCCAATAATGGTTGTCACCCCCTTCAATTTTTTAATTGGAGAGGGGTTGGGGAGGGGGGTGACAACCATTATTGGCATGAGTATATATTCAATGTAAGACAAGTTTTATATAACTTGATTTTCTTCGGCAGCTCATTTCGTTGCTAGCCACAACCAACACCATAACGAACATATTTATTATTCAATCATTTATCTGTTATTTTGTCTCAGTATTATTCTTTTGCTGTCAAATTATTTCAATAATTATTATGTATGCAGCTATTTGAATAATGTACTGGAGCGGCGTCTATATAAGCCACTAGGCTTGTTCGCCTATCCAGGTTTCTGCCTTGACGAAATAAAAATATGTTTAAACCAATAGATTCAAGAATCTCCATATTTACAGGTATAGATACATGAGCATTTCCGAATAATACTGAATCTAATGTGTAACCTTTTTGGTAACAGTAAAATCGTAATGTTATTTCTAGTTTCAATATATACTGGACAAGTAAACAAAAAAACGAAAACTCTCTTCATTTGCTAGTCCACATGAGCATATCGGACTCTCTGTAATGTATCTTTCGTATTTGTGAGCACTGAGGTCACTGCAGCCATGTCGCAGGCGGGTATGAACAATTTGAGCAAAACGGCTTCCATAGTTGATATTCAAACATATACGAGGTGGATTTTTAGTCCTCGATAGTCTCGACAAGGACTCTAAATGAAATAATGTTGCGGTAAGTTCTTCCATAGAATAATAGTTTCGGGTAAAAACGAGTTATCGTAATTACTTGCTCTGCAGTTAATTGATATTTTGCATGATTTTACCAAAACATCAAATTTACCTGTGAGTGCATCTGACTTTTAGAAGTTGCCAAACTATTTTTTTCTGATTTCACTTGCAAATATGCGACATGATCTGCACCATCCATTGTTCGTCGCAACTCCAATTACAAAATGTATCTGTCAAACAGAAACTCTTCAAAACATCAGGACTTTCATCAGCCAAGACATAAGATATGTTCAAATGAAAGGGGGAAAAAACTCTCCGTTGTGTCTCCAGCGTCTTGAAAACACTAAATATAGCCTTCAAAAAAAACCTTCAAATCTCTCTATTACAGATTTAAATAGACTGTGTGGAGCAGTTTTTTTATGCACTTCGTCCAATACAAACGCTCACCCCAGTTGGCCTTTTACGCCAAAACGAATCTGTACAATCAGTTTGGCTTTTCTCTTTATCAGTATCTTTCAGCATCATAGGTGTCAAAAACATCCTCACTGACAACTGCTTGAGCAAATCTCTTTGGGTGCATCCCAATTCAACGTCATTTCCATTGACACCATGAGACATAATCCAATCGGGATTTCTTTGTCATTATTCCCCTCAATCACTTAAACCATAATCCTTTCAATTGTTCTTATAGTATCAGCTTGTGGTGCTTATTGAATGCCTTGAAATCTGTTTCAGAACCTTCCCAATCCACGCCAAGCACCGTGGGAGTGATGGATCAGATTGTTTGGACAGTTTTCAACTCAAAAGTCTACATTGACAATAGACGTGTTTACATAGTTCACGGTGATTCATAAGTCCTTTGATTTGTAGTCATGCTTTTGCAACAAGATAGGAGTACTTAAACCATCGAACGGGAACAGGATGTCATTATCAACCATCCTTCACAGTAGCAAACGTCAGCGTAACCTGAAGTACAAGATTCAGACAAACCAAACAGTCTACCTCCAGAAATGGATTCTCCAAAGGTGAGTTTTGGTCCACACAAGTTCATTACATCTTTAAAAATTTAAAAAGGTTGGACACTATTTCACACGTATCGAAGAAAATCTTTCGCGCTCGATAAATGCCAAGCTTTGTGTCCCACATCTGTTTAATTATATCACATTAAAACTTTAAGAATAGAGAGAACCTCATTCCTAAAGATTTTAGAAAATGTCAATAGTTTTAATACTCTTTAAATGATTCATATTTCAGAAAAACCGTGTGCCCGTCCAGGAACCCGTGAGGTGCTTGTTTCCCCAAGAGCAAGCATCTATTCCCAATGTCAACACACAACCTGTGCCAGTCCATCCACAGGTCACCCGTTTCAGTGCCACTGATATCATCAATGTTCCCAATACAGACGACAGCTTGAGCTCGGATGACAGTGGGACAGACACTCTCCACATCGCACTGGACGATTCTTCATCAGACGACAACCCTCGTGATCTTTCAGCAGGCAACAACAAGCACAAGGACGATACGCCAGATCCTCACACTCAGCCAGTGATAGCCAGGATACCTCTCGTAAACCAGCCCATGTTTGCCCACTCAAGTCCACTGATCAGCGAGTACCCCCGTCCAGCGATGTCATTCTACCATGCACCTCCACCAGCCAGTAGTTTCACCTCACTCCATACCCAGTTGCCACCTGTGATGTTCCCATCTACCTTCCCAGGGTTTCTCCCATATCAACCTCCGGTTTTCTCATATCTTCAATCCCACGCGATGACACCGCAGCATCCGATTGAGACCAGCAGAGTACTATCAACCAGTGACGCAAGCGATGGTAAGTTGAGAATATAATTGGTTGGTAATGAAGTAAAACACTAACGGGACCAAAGCATGAGTGTCAGTTTGTCTTGCTTACTATAAATAAAAAATATATATGCCAGTAAAGGCATGTCCAAATAAATCGAATCAGCAAGAACGGCTTGTCGACAATGATAACAATGTTCTTGTATCTTTCAGATGAAGGCAATGACTCTGACTCCAGAGGCTGTTCTCCTCAAAGCAGCAGGGATCAAACCAGTCCAGCCAACAGCTTCACCTCCAGTGGGGTGTACAGCAATCCGAGCCCCGTCCCAAGTCCTGTCCCGAGTCCTGATCCAAGTCCTATCCCAAGTGTTTCCGAAACTTTCGATTTTGCCCCATCTCCTTTCAAAACTCCCGTGACCAACAAGAGAACCCGCGCACCCGGGGGTCGTACTTGTTACGCCCCGAATCACATCCGTGTCATGGAGAAAGCCTTCACAGAGAACAAATACCCTGACTATGATCTCCTGGAAAAGATGTCAGCGGAACTTGACATACCCGTAAAGAAGATAAAGGTAAATTTCCTTGTTATTCATTATTGACATTGACAAGATTCTCCAATCATGATATCGGATTCTAAATATTCTATTCTTTGTCCTAAATATGACAATTTCGCGTGTTTCAGGTGTGGTTCCAGAACAAGAGGGCACGAAACAAATCCCGTTATCCAGATATGTCTACACACAACATGGCTGCCTCGATGTCTGCTGTCGGTTATGGCTATTTACCCGGCGCCATGCCACTTCCGTTTACCAGCGGCCCTCACATGATGCCTGTGTACCCAGGATACCCGTATCCGGGGATGTACCCGTCGCCAATGTGCTGATTGACTGATATTATTTATGTGTATATCATCGTTAAGTGCTACATGCAATGTTATGCAATTTGTACATATAACCATATTTATTGTGTGATGACATAAACGAATCCAATCTTCCCAGTGCTTTTGTTGATCCTTCAAGGATTGTTTGATACTGCAACATGATCGCAGCTATTGCAGCGATTGAATAACTTGTGACACCAGTTCACTCTTGTATGCACACTGAGCACTAATCAAGTTCTTTGCGGTCTGTAATTAATCAAGAGGATCGATGCAACACGTTAACATGCAATAACCTATCCGCCAAGTCGCCTCTTACGACAGGCACAGTCATGTCATGTCACATGAACAACATACCTCTTATAATCTCCGCCCCAGAGACCAGTGTCAGGGCCACTCATGTATATTAATGATTAAAAGCAATATACATGGTCGAAACCAATATACATCGATGGTACTTCTTCACATTTAGTTTATTGGCTATTCACACAGCCATTGTTATGAATAATGACCAAAGAACATTTCTGAATGGACAGATACATGGAAAGCTCATTTTGTAATCCCCGAAATATGTAAACGCCTTACAAAAGAAAGTTACAGATATAACAGACGTTCAATGCCACAGACATCTAGGTGTTAAGAAAGTGTAAAGAAAATGTACCCGATGGTACGTTGTTTTCGAAGTTTTAGATACCATGACACTATATTAGACACCCTGTAAACATCATTTATCCTACCAACCTTTGAATATTGTAGTAGAATGTAGTAAGAATGAAATTCAGCATACACAATGTCAAAGTGTATTCGTTTAAATGCAAGATATCCACAGAATGAGTGAGGTTAGTTTTACGCCTCACTTAGCAATATTCCAGCTATTAGGCGGCGGAGAATAGAATAAGGAAGACAGGAGATTTTCAAATTCCCGATAAATACATGAAATATTGAAAAGTATTTTGAATAATAGTTAAATGTAAATAATAATGTATTATACCAACCGGCATCAATAAGAAAATGCACAGTAGATACGGGATAGTTGGCATATTTAGATATAACTAACGTTAGTTTCTTCCCACCACACAGATAAAATATCCCTATTCAGGTGCAAGGTGTGAACTATTCGGGAAAGGTAATACAACTGAATATTTCATATATGATGAATAAACAACAGCTGTATCTATTTCAACACAGCGTGATCCCGTTTGTTTCAACAACCTCGACAACATCGGTTGAGATCTCTGGTCATATAACACAAGAATGTTCGGGAAGTTTACAGCGTTCTTTTCTTTTATCTGGATATTATTAACAGTCACGAATTCCATTTAAAGTAAGAAACATAAGATTATTCAACAAGGAAATACCTACTTCTTGACACGTTTGTCCTGAAGTGTTTCACCTGTGTGTGTGTGTGTGTGTGTGTTTGTTTTTGTTGTGTGTGTGTGTGTGTGTGTGTGTGTGTGTGTGTGTGCGTGCGCGCGAGTGTACATAGTATGACAATTATTGAAAGTTTTTAGATCATCAATGTATCTGAAGTTAAATTTATTTTTCATTTTCATATTATTCATTTTGTCAATAAGAGCACAAAATCCATTTGAATGTACATCCGTAAAGAGGGGGGCACAATAAGTGCCATGGCGATAGCTTCTTTTAGCCTAAGTGCGCTCTCACCATATATATTGTTGACTAGCAGGAAGCCAAGCATTTCATTAGAAACATTATATTTGTTTCATTTTTTATAAATTATCTCGAAGTAAACTATGGATACATATGGAAAAAGTTACACGTTTTAGCAATCTAGATCTAATACCGGGACTGCTGTAACACGTTTTCACTGAATGTACTTGACAATGTGATAATCCTGTAATGGCAAAGATACAAGATTTTAGAAACAAATGTTTTGTTGACTGTTTTTTTCTCACCTTTTGTTACACTCATTTGTAGAAATGTATTGTAACCTAAAATAACTTCATGCTGGTATAAAACGGTGGTTATCAAGAGTTATCCCGATATTCCAATGTTCCATGCTCATCGAACCTCTTCTTCTTTCTGTTAGTGAAAGATTTACCCTCAAACTTTAGCTTAAACATGACTAAATACTGGCAAGAACGTTTATGGAAAGATAATGTTAATACTGGTCGAATCTCCGTGTCTACAGATCTTTCAAAGATATGTATTGTTGTGAAAGCCACGTCACATTTTTATGCCCCAGAGTTACCATTCCCCTTTCACAAAATGTATTGCATAGGCAGATATATCAATGTAAATTAATAGCGTGTTTTATTACAGTGTCCCCAATGTGATGAGTTCAGAACTGCACTTTTTACAAAGGTTACGAATAACATTGACCAGCCCCTTGACATTGTCAAACTAAAAAAAAAAGATTTGTGTCGTTTTTGAACACATGTTCTCACAGCATAAACCTGTTTTTCGCAACTTCAACGTAGAAAACATATTCATATGGACAACTTATAACATTTATACAATGTAAATGTTTCAATGTTTTACTGTCTCTCAGGATTAATTCTTCTTCTACATGGGAATGATCTGAAATTAATACTTCTTGGTCATAGCTCCACAAACATGGATATATGCAATCAGTTCACGACTTTATCATCAAAAGCCAAAAATTTGAGCAATTTTAAATTCATGTACAAAGGATAATTGCACTATCATATTTTTTCCACAGACAACACTGACTTCAAAATACTGACTTTATATATTATATTTGTGCACTGTACGTTATGTTCAGCAATAGCTTGTACAACATATACCAGCCAGCCGTTATTACCCGGAGCGGTATTTACATAATCAATTATTTTTTTTTTTATCGATCCAGATTTCTTTGGAATAAAAATATGTTTAAAGCATGACTAACTCTTATGCCTGTTTATATTTTTCAAGCTGTGCAAAGGCGGTGGCTAAGATGAAAGTGTTCGCTCGTCACGCCGAAGACCCGGGTTCGATTCGCCACATGGGTACAATGTGTGAAGCCTATTTCTGGTGTACTCCGCCGTGTTATTGCTGTAATATTGCTAAAAGCGGCGTAAAACCCATTTCTCAATCAATCAGTTAATCAATCAAGCTACACAGCGCTTACAGGTAAATATAATATTTGTCTTGCTGTTCTGTTTGTTTATAACTTCAAGCCTTTTCCATACTCTCTACACTAAAAACACATTCTAGTAGTTATTGTTTATTAATAGTGCTCATTTCCAAGTGTATCACTGAAAGACAAATGGGACTTGAAGAAGACGTTTTGCGATAAATAACAAGGGTGAGTTACAAAGGATTGTATTGAACAAGTGTGTGATATGTCTATGGACAATATTATTTCACTGTCGTCTATAAAGTGGACGTACTTCATCATTCCGATCAGGATTGTTTGGAGCAGTCGTTTTAGCTTCTTCATCCAATACATATGCTGTCCTCTCCCTAGTTAATTTGTCACTGGTATTTCGCGCATCCTTTGTTTCACGATAAAACGAATGTGCACCAGACAATCAAATGGGTTTTCTCTTTATCAGTGTCTTTCAGTATCACAGGTGTCAAAAACATCCCCATTGACAACTACATGAGCAAATCTCTTTTAACTGCATCTCAATTCACAGTCAGTATCATTTCCACTGACAATACGAGGCATAATCCAATCACGGTTCCATTGTCTTAATTTCCCGTAATCACTTAAACCATAATCCTTTCAACTGATGTCATAGAAGCAGCTTGTGATGCTAATTGACGCCTTGAAATCTGTTTGAAAACTTTCGCAATCCACGCCAAGCGCCGTGGGAGTGACGGATCAGATTGTTTGGACAGTTTTCAACTCAAATATCTTTGTGGACAATAGACATGTTTAGATAGTTAACAGTGATTTCATAAGTCCTTTGATTGTAGCCATGCTTTTACAACAAGATAGGGGTACTTAAACCATCCAACAGGAAGAGTAAGTCATTATCAACCTGCCTTCACAGCAGTAAACATCAAGGATAACCGAACGTTCCCTTATTCAGAGAAACTAAGCAATCGAACTGCAGAAATGGAATCTCCAAGGGTGAGTGTTGGTCCATGCAAATCCAATTCTATTATAGTTTTAAAGCGAATGACAAATACAGGTTGGTTAGAACAAGTATTGACAACATTTATGTTAGAGCACGACGTGTCGATACAGGTTCTTGTATCGTTTTCAAGGAAGAATGGTACAGTGGCAGAACAGGTTGTGTGCCCCAGATTTCCGTAACGGTACTTGGCATTAAAAGAATAAACATAAAATAAATAAGTTAAATCAATATTAATCTGTTAACGCTGAAAGTTTTTCGATACACAAAACGCATCTTTCAACATGTTCACAGTTAAATTGTTAACTGCTTCATATTTCAGACAAGCCTTGAGCCTTTCCAGAGACCCGTGAGGTGTTTGTTCCCCAACGAGCAAGCATCTATCCCCAGTGGCAACACACAACCTGTGCAAATCCATCCACAGGCCACCCATTTCAGTGCCACTGATATCATCACGGTTCCCAATACAGACGACAGCTTGATCTCGGATGACAGTGGAACAGGCGCTCTCCACATCGCACTGGAAGATTCTTCATCAGAGGACACCCCTCATGATCTTTCAGCAGGCAACAACAAGCACAAGGACCATAGGTCAGATCCTCACACTCAGCCAACGATTGCCAGGATACCTCTCGTAAACCAGCCCATGTTTGCCCACTCAAGTCCACTGATCAGCGAGTACCCCCGTCCAGCGATGTCATTCTATCATGCACCTCCACCAGCCAGTAGTTTCACCTCACTCCATACCCAGTTGCCACCTGTGATGTTCCCATCTACCTTCCCAGGGTTTCTCCCATATCAACCACCGGTTTTCTCGTATCTTCAACCCCACGCGTGACACCGCAGCATCCGATTGAGAGCAGCAGAGTACTATCAACCAGTGACGGAAGCGATGGTAAGTTGAGAATATAATTGGTTGGTAATGAAGTCATGCTTACTACGAATAAAAAATATATA